TGTCCTCTTGCGATAGAAGATTAGCCTAAGGCATTTTTTCTTTTTGCGAATGTGCTTGGTCTCTGTCTAATTGGGTCAACTGAAGTCTAAAAAAGTTTGGAAGAAAAAGGGGAAAGATAGGAAAATGAGGATGACAGAGAGGTGTGCCAGAAGCTAAAGGGCTGAATTTCAACATGAGACCTCCTCACCAGCTATCTTAGATAAATGTTCTCGGATATCTTAGGTAATCCATGGAAATGCTGAAACCGGTGTGTTTAATTCCAGGCATGTTAACAAGTTGATTTGAGCCATTAGTGTTTGTTTCAAGAGCTCTTGTTAAGTTAATTAGCGCCACACATTTTGGTGCGCTAACAAAATCTTAACAAGAGGCGATAATAAAAATGTGTCTCAGTGGGAAAACTGAATTTTCCATTAGAGAATTCACTCACAAATCTGCTCAGCACTATAAACATGTCTGGGATGTTATAGGGACGTGTGCCCCGAGAGTAAAGACCCATTACAACGTTGTGTAAAAACAGAACATATCAGCATGGTGCGTGCAAATGATCACAGGCAATTAAGAGCATGGTGTTAGATTGCAAGAATCATGTCTAACAGCCCCACTGGGGTGTAAACCTTGCTCAGACAGCATGAAGACATGCATATGTGCCCTGTTAATTTCACTGAACAGCAGCATAGTTTCTGAGTGCATAGTGAGCTGGGAGGTCGAGGCAGCTCTGTTTGTTGTTATCAATTCTTAAACACAAATACAGTACCTAAAAGAATGTTAATTCAAAACACACAAAGAATATCTGGCAAAGTCTGGAATTAGATACAACGAAAAGGATGTACATGTATTGTCGTCCAGCATGCAAAGACATCCAAGTATTTCTGAGTGTCCAAAATGCCAAAATGTCCAAAATGCCTATTTTATTGAAAAACCAATCGTATGTTCCCATGATATCATCTGGAAGCTGTGACCACAACTATTGGAATCTCCAAATATGTTGAAAGTTAAAATGCGGACTCAGTAAAATGAATATTTTTTGCTCCTCTGAGCAGCTTGCCGCTCCCGTTCTTAGAAAGTTTTATTGCACAGGTCATTCTGCGGTCACAAGCCCCTCCCATTGTTGAGGCGCAGATAGGGTTTGCAGGGAGGATGGGAATAGGATGTCTTTTTTTGTTTCACTCTAGAAGACTCACTGCACCTGGGGTTTTAAGTACTGTTAAGCTTAATTATGATTCACAGAAACAGTGAATGGATGATCATAGTTTTGATTGCAGAGTATAAAAGTAAGCTTTTAAACTGAGGATGAACATGTTTTATGATGAAGACTCATTATTTTGCACAGCATTTAATTAATTTCATATGACAAGAATACAGGTAATTGTACCACTGCAGCTTTAAACTATATTACAGTAACATAATGATGACTAGTTAGCCTTCAACTGTTGTCAGGGTATTTTTCTGTTTTATCCCTGTACTGTGTTTTATATGGGACGAGTGCTGGACTTAACATTTATATTGTTTCATGTCCCGAATAAAACACCTTTGCAGAAACAGATGTGTTTACAGTATTTTGTAAGGAAAGTATCCCTCTGAGACTCACCTGCGAGCTGCAGTGCCTAACTTCTACATCTCTGCAAAAAAACAACCTGCTTCTACATTCAAGCTCATTGCTGCTGTTCAATTCCTTTTAACAGCATCTCTCCCTGTATGACAAACGAGTGCTACACAGAGATAGCCCTGTCACAGGGCTTGCTGTGTGAGCAAGATTACAGTAGCAAAGTGCAGCCTAATGTGTCAGAGAGGCAGTTTAATGTCCTATTACTGATACTGGGGTCCTGACAAGCAATAAAGCATCCAGATGCAATTTGTCCCCCTGATGCTGTTGCTGTATCAATACACTGTTGCCTTCTTTTTTTAAGGGAATCATTCTCTTGGGGTTTGGTCCCTTGTGTTTTATAGGATTGTGATTACACAATGTTTTTTTTTACCATGTTTATGGGTTTTGTAGGGAAGAATTTTGATTGTATTTTTGCACGAGGTTGACAGTTTTAGGGTACATTCATTTAAGATATTGGTATGTTTGTATCAGGAAGCTGTCTGCACTGTGACATTAACAATATTTCTACAGTTCACTTTTATCCAAAGCAACGTACATCAGAGAGTAAGTACAACACAAGCAAGGATCTAGAAAAGTGCAAAGATCAGCTTTGAGTCCGACTGGACACACAGGTGCTGACAGGCATTGCACAGAGACAAAGCACAACATTGACGGCAGTTCTTGGGAACGCTAATCAGTATAGAAACCATCTTATAAGTCATCGTTATCAAACAAAACCATCGTCATTACCATCATCATCATCAATAATATCGAAACCATCATCATCATCATCATCATCAATAATATCGAAACCATCATCATCATCACCATCATCATCAAGTTAGTAGGTATTCATGAAAGAGCTGGGTCTTTAGCTTTTTCTTAAAGGTGCAGAGGGACTCTGCAGATCGAATGGAGTTTGGAAGTTCATTCCACCACCGGGGGGCGACAGAGGAGAAGAGTCCAGTCAGTGTCTTAGGACCCTGTTGTGAAGGTTGGATCAGACGCCTTTCATTGGCAGAGCGTAGTGGGCGGGAGGTAGTGCAGACCTGGATTATAGAGTTTAGGTAAGGAGGAGAAGTTTTTGTCGCTGTTTTGTAAGCGAGCAGCTGAGTTCTAAATTTGATACGAGCAGTAACTGGGAGCCAGTGTAAGGAGATGAACAGCGGAGTGACATGTGCTCTTTTAGGTAGGTTATTTGAAACCTATCTGCCACTATTAGCTCTGTTCCTCTTCTTGTTACCTAAATTCAAATTTGACGTCCTGTTGTTTTCTCACCTCTAGTCAAAATTGACAGTGTTTTTTTCACTAGTAAAAATAAACAACATTTTTTAAGAACTTAAAAACCAGGCATGTTGAAAACTATCAACTTTATTTTAAAGTAAGGCTAAAGCAAGAGGCCAAATAATAATTGTTCGTATACCGAACAGAATCATTTTTCAGTTGCTGGTGACTCATTGCCCCCATACCCCAAACTCTTTTGAATCAACTCCCACAAACCATCAGATCTGTTTCAAGAAGATTCTAAAAACTCACTTGATCAGACAAGCCTTCATGTAATACCAAACCATTTCTTATTCTAAGTTTGTTTTTGTGTTTGCCTGATCTTAACTTTGCCCTTTTTGACATTGTGCTTTTATTTGTGAATTACTTTGGAACTGAGTGTTTTAAAATACACCAGTAGTAATGGATTAACTCATACTCATCCCTTTTCTTAAACTTCAATGATAACTAAATATAAAAAACAAGTTTTTTTGTTGCAGCTGGCAAATATAAGAAAACAATTTACGATTAACTTAACGTCTCTTTTAGCTGCAAAAGAGACATTTTGAAGCTGTTTGTTTGCTTCAAGTTAATTTACACTTTTTCTTTCTGCCGGTGCAGACTTCAAAATGAGGCTTTTCTGAACTCATTGCAGGAGCAGAGCAGATGCTGCTCCGTTGCACCCAACCACACAAATAGTTTTTATTGATGTTGCTCTTGGTTCAGAACCTACAGTACAGTCTATGACTCTGATGAATCACAGTACATCAGAGAGATGTATGTTACATTAGTAATATTTATCATAGTGGCAGACACACTGGCCTGATATGTATTCAGCCCCTTGCAGACATAGAGAAATGAAAAGAGCAGTATCCATCCCACAGTCAAATAGGCCTGCTATGTCTCCACAGTCAAATAGAGGGAAACACACATTCTTCTGGGTTGCCACAGTCTCCCACTGGTGCACCCTGAGCAGTTTGCTAAATGTTTGTTCCATCCTCCTGTGCTTTGACAGCCTTAGTTAAAAGACAAACTCTCAGTCTACTGACGTCCCCGCCAAATGATGGTTGTGTGAATTGACAAAAGGTTTTTTAGCCTGGGGAGAACTGTTTTAGATGCTATCTGTGTTTTATTTCAATTATAGAAGGGATCACAGAGCCTGCCAGTGTGATAGCAAGCCAGCTGACAGCTAATCCCTCAGGACAGAAAACGAGTTGTACAGCAACTGATGTCATCTAAGGTTAAACGTCCATTGTGATGAGGCGCTCTTCAAAGCCAGTCGAATGCAGCTATTGTTCCTCTCCCCTTTCTATCATTAGTCTAAAGAGAAGATGAAAGTCTGGTTCATGACATCCTGGCAGGCCCGTGGCTCTATAAATCTGGCCCTGATTAAAAAGCATAGAGGGGGGTAAGAAAGTACAACCATGAGAATGTAGAAAAGAAAGATGGAGAAGAAGTGTCGGCAGGCCTCTAAGTGTGTGATGTCTATGCTGCTTGCCTCAAAAGAACATCCCAGTATGATGCAACGCAACCCAGGACCCCGAGATGTTAAAGAGATGTTAAATGCACGCTAAAACGCTAACGCCCTGCTTTTGAACAGCCACTCATCAAAATTTTAAGTGAGATTTTAACCTCTGACACAGCAACAGCATGCGTGATGTGAGAGAGATCCTCCTCTCGACAGTTGCTTTTAAGGAAGGAGACGATGTCCGCTGGATATTCTCCCCCTCGCTGTGTTTAGTGGTAATGAATGGCAGCTAATGAACACCTCTGCGCCTGGCTCCCCCTCGACGCCTTTTTTTACTCTGCCTGTTTGCTGGTGGCTGTCTGGCAGATGAGCGGCAGGGGAGGGAAACAGAAGGAGGAAAGGACACAGCGGGGGGCTGTCACACTTTGTCCCAGCACCTGCGCTGAGGTGGGAGCCCCTTTAGTTTCAGCATGCACAGATCAAAGGGGGGGGGGGGGGGGGGGGGGGGGGGGTGCTCACTAACAGGTTAAGATGCTACATTAATTGGTATATGGGTTAAAGATTGAACCGCAGGTATTAGTAAGATATTCCTGCACATCTTGTCATTCTTTTTGCATCCTATAACTTTTGTTTGAGCTCTTTTTCTTTTTTAAATGGTACATTTTTCTGTCTCTATCTTCTAGCCACAGGGATCTGAAGCCAGAGAACCTGTTGCTAGATGAAAAGAACAACATCAGGATAGCAGACTTCGGCATGGCCTCCCTTCAGGTTGGAGACAGTCTGCTGGAAACCAGCTGCGGGTAAGTCGTATAGAAAACATCATGATGCATGCTTTTGAATGCAATGCCTGACTAACGTCCTCCACAGGTGAGTTTTACATGATTCAGAGAATGTCCTGAAGGTAGAAGCAGAGTTGTACATGGAGGGCACTCGGAGTTGACGATGTGGAACAGAGAGAAACAGAGGGGGGAGTGGACAAGCAGTAGAGAATGATGAGTGGAGCTATCAAGCCCTCTGCCAGGTGCCGTGTTCTCCAAGCCGACGTTATCGTGCGGTGCTAATCTTGGTCGGTGTCTCTCACAGAGAGTACTATCTGGCTGTGAGCAGGGGCCAGGGCCATGGCCACACATTACAGCTCTCCGTCTCCTCGTATCTGCGGCTGCTGGGTTTTATGAGCCAGCAGTCACGACCACCCCAAGCCCATCAATCCCACAACAAGTGTAATGAATCCGCTGGAAGAAAAAGTCACTTTCAAAGTCTTCGGAGTGTGGCCATTCATACGATGAAAGTGTTTTTATTTAACCCTGAAGTGAAGTGAAGAGTGTGCAGGGTCACATCTGTCAATAAAAGAAGCAACTCAGTTGATAAAGGTTTACTTTTAAGTACTGGGTTTGTGACTCAATGACAGCGTGGACTATCAGAAAGACTTCACTATGCCCAAAAAGTTGTTGTCCTAAGAGTTTCTTCCAACTTGAAATTCACACTGAAAAGTAGATGTCAACACAGCCAGTTGTAATTGCTGTAAATTACACAAATCTTATTTCGTTTACACTGATTTATTCTTTCATTATCCTAGCCTAATAACATATGAGTCATGGCTCAACTTGATCACATTTTGAAGCCATACTAAATCCCTTATAGGTCATAATACATCAGGTGAAAAATGCAGCTTCCTATGGAGACTAGGCTTTTCTATCGTCATCATGAGATTTAGAAAATGATCATTTCTGTGAGATAAGCGTATGATGGACAACTAAAGATAAAGTTCAACAGGTCTAGGTTTTGTTTCTTTTTCCAGATTCTTGTTGATCAGGATGTTTTGTGGTGAATATTCACCTTTTAATTACACATGACACCGCTAGCTGGGCTTTGAGACAAAGAGGCTCTGTGACATCTGTCCCAAGCACCGGCCTGATTCTGTCCAGATTATACCTCCAAATCAGCGGCAACTGAAATAATTACACACAGTTCCACAAACACACATGTGCACAAGCGCCCTGGCAATGCTTAGTTCATCGGTGACCTCCTGGACCCTTTGTCCCTTCTCGTTTTGGTTGTCTCTCTGTCTGTCTGTGACTGCCTCTCTATAATACACATGCACGCACAGTGACGCTCGTGCACACACTCACACAGCAGTGTGAAAGTGTTGCATCATTTTTGCAGCAGTAGCGCAGAGCCTAAGCTCTCATGACTCATCGGTACAGATCAGGACAACTGAAAGCATTGTGCGTCGCTCTCTGGATGTAAAATGTCCAACCATGTTGACCACTCTGGAGTGTTTCCTGTTCCTAGAAAGGTAGCCGAGGCAGATAGTTCTTACTCAGCTTTTTGTTGTATCCTGTAAACAAACTGTACCTATATTTGATTGCAATCAATCAAGCAATTCTGTGACCCCAACCAGGTGCAGTGCATCTGCTGAGACCCACCCATACATTTGCTAAGTGCTAAAAGTACTCGTTGCAGGTGGGAAAAGAGACTTTTTGCAAGGACACACAGACACACACTCCCACACAGCCGAGCAAAGTACATCTGTTTTTGTTCCACTCAGCTCCATCACCACATCTTCTTATGTTTGTGTGTGCGCCTCACATGAAGGTTGGAGCAACGTTTGTGCTCATGTGTCTCCATGGTGTTGCTTCATACACATGAATGGGCCACGAACTCCATGTGTGGTTATTGATTATTTATGCTCCTCCGATGGTCCCATCTCTAAGTGCAGATATGACAGTTTTTAATTAAACACATTTATCTGCCCCCCTCTCACCATGCAGCAGTCTGACACAAATGTATTCCATTTGCCACGGGTAATGGAGCTGAGTGAAAATGAGACTGGCCCCAGGTAGCAGGGGGTGCCTCGGAGCACATACATAAATACATGCAGACATATAGATGAGCAGAGGCATTGATGAGCACGCACCACCTCTCCTTCTTTTTTTTTTCTGTCTGTGAAAGCCCAGCTGTGGGTCCTTCAGTGCTGGATGTTTGTTTACATTTCCTGCTCTGTTGGTGATAGGAAATTATTTTGTATGCAATGAGATGCACAAACTTGTTTTGTAGAAGATAAATGATTATGAAGATGAGCTGGCTCTCTATACTGCAGATTCATTCACTGGCCAATAGGAATTCATCGCTCTAAAGCTCTTGATTCCGTCTCTCCGCAAAGTACACAATATGTTCTGTTTTCTGTCAATTCCAATTTAATCCCATGGTAAAAATACGAGTGCATTTTTGCAAACTATGCAAACGGTGTGCTTGAACAATCCAGTCAATATCTGTGATGCAAAGTCAAAGATCATCTTCATCTCAATAATAAAGTAACTGATGTGTGAGTCGGGCTCTAATTATTACCCTCTCTGAAAAAAATGTGAAAGAGCCCAAGGCACTTTTTATCATTTATGTAAGATGGCCTCAGTAGTTTTTGTTCATGAAGAGCACGGGTTTTTTTTAATTACATTCCAGAAAGATTCTGCATTAAAAAAGTCAATCATATCTCTTTTTTAAATGATGATGAGTGCAAAGGGAGCAGATGATTTAGTCTGAATCGATGGCAGGCCCCTGAATGGAATCACTTTAAAATCCTATTTTAGCTAGAAGACTGTTTGATATCAACACACAAGAATGTTTGGTGATGACCTTTGGGATTTAAAGTATAACCTAAACTTTTCCCCACACTGACATCGTACTTGTTGCGCTCAGAAAAAGCCTTACCTTGTGCTGCGTCTGTTATTTTATGTTTACAATATTAGGGGTGTAAAGCAGAGAGAGTAAATGAGCTTGAGTAAATATCAACAAAAAGAGTGATTTTAGTGTCATTCCCACGCACAACAGTTCTTTAAATGGCTGCATAGTTCACTTCTGTCAGAGGAAAGCGGCTTTTACAGCGTTTTCTATATCACCAGTATCCTACTTTATAATCTGAAGTTGTGGCTCGTGAAGCAAGGGATCTGTATGTTAACATATTTATTTCATGATGTACGGGCTCCAGTCAATGTGGACAGAATTTTAATATAGTGAAACAGAATATTTTTGAATCGCCTTTAACATTTAGGCCATAAAATGCACGTAAAAAAACGACAGTCTTATGATCCTTACTACAAAACTGAAGTAGTCAGAAGCTTTGTAGACATATTTGAGAACAAGTTATACAAAGTACAAGAGTAGAAATAGACGAGAGTAGATTACATGTATGTACAGAATCTTACTCAACCATATCATTACACATGTACGCATAATGTGTAATGATATGGTTGAGTGGTTAGGAGTTCTAATACTGATAAATGATGACTGCATCCTCGTCTCTTTGCCACCTAGAGCCCATGCACATAATTACTGTACATCCACTGCGGCTCCGGCCGTGGCTCAGTTGTTCTGGCACTCGTGAGTTATAACCAGTGCAAATCACAGGCTTGTTTTTTATTTATTTTTTTCATTCCTGGCTCATCTGCATAATACACTCTGACACTCGCAATCACGAAGGCCCTATTTGCATAGACTCCTGTTTGAACTTCCTCGTTGACATGGCGGCAGTGTTTGTTATCGGCCGGTGTTTTGACAGCCAGCGGAAGCCGCGCCGTCAAGGCTGGTGTTCATGAGTACACAAGACAACAGCAGAGCTAATGGGCGCCATGTTTACAGACTTCAGATAGTCTCTCATTAGAGCCAAATATCTTTGTATTAGATAAGACTGAAAGAGGTGTGGGGGGCAAATCATGGAGGCCTTGAGCAGACAAGTTTCAATTATTTTTTTCTGTTATCTGTCAGCAGACTTGTTGGACAAAAACAAAACTCTGCCCACATCAAAGAAACCTCAAAGAAACAAATGCCCTGTAATCCAAAGTTATTTCATTTGAGATTCACTACATGAGGTTATATTACTTAGTGTCTTACATTTGTTTTTGAAGGAATATGTGAAAGTGCTGCAGAAGTTCCACTATGTATGTACAGGATTAAAAAGACCCTCTACAGCATCTCCCTTCATCCGTAGCCATTGGTTTATGGAGCAGACCGTTGCGAAGTAGCTTCATAAATCTTCATACAATATTGATGTGTCAATCTAGTCATTGGGTTTACTGTCAGCCCATCCAGGTGCTGTAAAGATTAGTGGGTCTGTTCACAGTCTGCTGTGAGAGGATGCCCTTGAGTGAGCAAGCAGGAGGACATCCAAACACCCTCAGGATGTCAAAAAAATCCCCAAGCACATCTTGATCTACGCTCACTAAAGACATTTATTCTCTGCCTAAATGATTTTTCTTTTACTTTCCTTTTTTTTTTTACAATGGCAAACACTTTTTTTTTAAACCTGAGTGTGCATTGCATTACTGTAAAAGTCCTGAAATAACCTAGACTTTCAGATTTATTCACTGTTTGCTCTTTTCTTTGTTCCCTCTCCACAGATCTCCACATTACGCCTGCCCAGAGGTCATCAGGGTAAGTCATTTATCACTGATTCATAATATTGTTTTTGTTCCACCATCCTCTTTTTTATTTTTTATAGCCCTTCATCTTATTTAAACCAACCCTAACACGCTAAGAAACACTCACTCTTTTCCTCAGGGGGAGAAGTATGACGGGAGGAAAGCAGACGTCTGGAGCTGTGGGGTCATTCTGTTTGCCCTGTTGGTGGTGAGTGTCCGCTTCTTCTTCACTAAGTGACGGTGATTGGACTGACGAACAGTTTCAAAATTGTCCAGAGATATATTGTGTAACACAATTAAATCGCAAAGTGTTTTCCCCTTTATAGCCAGCAGTCTAAGCTGTGTCTAGTCTGTGTGTAACAGACTTAATGGATCAAAAAAAGGAAAGCTGTGCTCTGACTTTTCACTCAGATTTGACCCAAGTGCAATGAGAGGAGCCTCTAACATGAACTCAGGTTCAATTCTAACAGTTTTCTTGAAAACAAAAACAAAAAAAGACCCTGATATTCTTATGCAATCAAAGATCAGGGAGTATAAGCACCTCTTTATTCATCATCCTGTATCCAGACAGCATTGTTTCCATAATCAGTTCAATTCTCCTGCTACATTATGTCTGTGCTTCCCCAGCCATGCAGCCCTGAAGCTTTTGTTTCATCAACAGCTGTACTGTAGTTCCTACACACTCCTGCTCCATGAATAATTCATACAGCTAAACTGAAAGAAGAGAGGCCTAAAATAAATACCAACACTGACAGGGCGCCTTTTGGCCACAGGCCCTGTGTGTTGGTCTTTGTTTTTTGTCTCTCACTCCGTCTTTTTCCGACTCGTGTGTGTGTGTGTGTGTGTGTGTGTGTGTGTGTGTGTGTGTGTGTGTGTGTGTGTGTGTGTGTGTGTGTGTGTGTGTGTGTGTGTGTGTGTGTGTGTGTGTGTGTGTGTGTGTGTGTGTGTGTGTGTGTGTGTGTGTGTGTGTGTGTGTGTGTGTGTTAAGGACAGTCTCCCTTCTACTTTTGTGTTGCATTAACCCCGATCTTGTTTACCATCGCCTCCACTGTGACCGCACTTTTCCAGCTCAAAGCAAAAGTTTCTCCTCATCGCTGTTTGACTGCAGATGAGTCTTGTCTTTCTTCGGCTCTGTCCTGCTGTCTGGCTGCAAGATAACCATTTGTCTGATAGTGGGAGACACGCAAACTCCCCAGCAGTTAGTCTGCGCTCAGATCATCTGTTACACAAGCCAACCCCCCCCCCTCTCTTTTTTCCTCCCTCTACCTCTCTTCATTTCTCTGCCTTTCTCTCTCTTTCTCTCTCTTTCCTCTCCCTCCTCCATCTTGTCTTTTGGAGGAGGCTGTCATTCATCACACAGCCACATCTGTGAGTTGTCAGGCAGCGCTGATAAATGACTCTGATGAGAGAATGCTAAATGAACGAGGTAAATGAGAAAGCTGGGTAATTATTAGAAAAGCCCTGTTTTCAGCTTACTGCTGTTTATAATTTATTTTCGCAGCGTGGCTGAGGGCAGAACGCTCCTAATTGGAGATTTGAACATGTTGAGAAAGCGAGCCTGTTTTCTGTAAGTCGGGCAGGATTAAGACTTAAAATGTGGTTTTGTTTCTTGTGGAAAGCTTTGTGAGTCATTCATATGCCTTTTTTTTTCCCTTCTCTGCCCTCGATCTGGTAGATGCTTATTTTTGGTTTGCCTCTGTCAAAACAAGTTCAAACTGTTTCTTCTCTATTAAGTTTTTCACTCCTACATCTACATCTTAACCATTTCTAGTTTCTCTGCTTTCCCTCCTTCGTCTCCCTAGGGTGCGCTACCGTTTGATGACGACAACCTGAGGAATCTGCTAGAGAAAGTGAAGTTGGGGGTGTTTCACATGCCACACTTCATACCACCAGACTGTCAAAATCTTCTCCGTGGTATGATTGAAGTGGACGCCTCTAAAAGACTAACGGTAAGTTCACATGAAGACACTGAGTTTGTATACTTGTGTGTGTGTTTGGTTTCAGGTCTTCATTGTTTGAGCTCAGACCCTGCAGTTTCAAGTGAGGGAAATCTCTTTTTGTTTGGTCAAGGCTCACTCCTGTTCTGATATGACGGGGGCCAAAGTGAACACCAACATACCAAAAGCATTATTTTTCAACTTTGGTGTTGGAGTTCTTGACCTGGCTAAGTGGGAACAAAACCCTGCAGATAGGTCAAAAATGTCGCTGACAGTATTTCCAAAATGGCAGAGGCTTATACAGCAGTAAAAGGGACAGGCCTACTATGTGTTATTAACATCCATGGTTTTAGAAGGCTAATTCCACTCACCTAGTGGATGTGGGTATAATAATTTAATATTTCCCTCTGCAGTACATGTAGTCATTCTCCCGCAGTATGCATGATATGTTTCTATAGAATAGAATAGCTTTATTTGTCATTTATCAATGAAATTCTGTCAGTGCAAAGAAACCTTTATAAAGTGCTAGAAATAAAATACAAATACAAGATTCTAAATACACATCACACTTTCCATAATATACTACATGAAGGTGATACTCTCCACAAATAAGTCCTCATTGACTCAATTAGATATGAAATATCTATCTGCAGTAAAAGTTTCATAGATACTCCACCACTAGTTGTGTTTACTAATGATGCTGCAGAAGCACCAGAAGCACATTCAGGTGCAATTTGAGACCGAATTAATGCAAGGAAAAAAACCCAGAAAATCGATTTGGGAAAAAGTTATTATTTTTGCAGCAATCTTGGAAAAGTTAATGCTCCGAAGAGAGAACAAGATGGCAGAACTCACATTCGAACTCAAGTGGCCAATATCAACTCGCCGCCGCCAAGCCAACCATTGTCTTTTTTTTCCTCTTATCTTTTTCTTTTCTCTTCTTTGTGCTCCCAAGTGTTTGTCTCACCTCATCCACGATTCTGTCTGAGCTCTTTCCTCAAGTACAGGATGTGAATTCGGGAGAGGGCCTGCTGTTTGTGTACTCTCCCTCTACAATGTTTAGTGTACTCAACAGAAAGGCAGTCCCTTTCAACACAGCAGCTTATCACCTTGGCATGGTGGTCGAGGAGAACAAAGATGTGTGTGGAGGGCAGAGAGGCAGATTGAGAGGCAGAGAGCGATGGACGAAGAGAAAGAAAACAAAGTGTCCAGAGATCTCAACAGACTCCAGCAAGACATGTTGCGGTCCTTTGTTCCTGTCTTGCATTTTATGTCCTGACAACACACAGAATACTCACAGGTTATTGTATCTGCACAAGTAAAATAAAAAAAACCTCACTGTTCACCCCCCTCTCAGGGCTCTCCAGGTCTTTTAGTGAATCAATGCAGTCAACAAAACTGTTTTCATGCGCTTCCCTGTAAGCAAATGTGGTTGAACCACCCTTAAGTGGGTGTTATTTCCCAATGCCTTCGCTATCTTTCAGAAAATGTGACGTACACAAAAATAGAAAAAATGTCTTGAAGACACAAATAAAGGAGAGCTCATTTTCAGGAGAGTTGACAACCTCACGGTGCAGCACTTCAGAAGAGCATCAGTGCTGAAACCTGAACTTGAAAGACCTCACCTGTTTGGTATGCTGTATGAACACTGGAGGATTTTATTTTCTGTTCTCTCTCTCTCTCTCTCTCTCTCTCTCTCTCTCTCTCTCTCTCTCTCTCTCTCTCTCTCTCTCTCTCTCTCTCTCTCTCTCTCTCTGCCCGAAGAGTACGGGTCACCCTGAGATCCACCTAGATATGTCCAGCAGCCTCTGGCGCTGTCCTCGACAAAAAGGGTTACACACAGAGCGAGCTGCTGGGACAGAATGTGCCACCCCCCCCCTCCCCACTCCCCCACCCCTGAAGTGCACGAGGGCTCCACACAGAGCTCTGGGGATGTGTTGTAACCTGGCAGAATGTCAAATAGCCCTGTTGGAGGGAGCGTTGTTGGGGTTTAGTGTTGACCGCCCAGTCAGAGACAAGATAGCTACACCCAAGGTCGGATTGATATCATATCATTGAGAGTATTTTTGTTTATTAACTGATGGTGAAATCAGACTAAAACATGGGGGCTGTGTTTCAGTATGTCTATTTCAGCTTCTGTTAATTAGGTTTACACACACAAAGCCAAGGCCCCTCAGAGTCTGAGTCGGAGGGCTTAACAGGCTTAGCCCAATAAAAGACTTCCTCTTTATTTCCCGCCTGTGTAGTCTAGTCCTCCAGAGGGTGACTTGGTGAACCACCTCAACACAGTCGTCTCATCATCACTATTCAAGTGAACACAGACACCCAGGAAAGATCTGTCTCCAGTGATTAGCAGGTCATCACACACACAGATTATTCACTAAATACACAAGATTCAGATGGAAAGAGAGGCTGCTCGTGTGAGAAATGTGAGAAATGACACTGTAGGTACCCTGACAGACATGTTTGAACCTCTTGTTTCATTCTCATGACCTTCTCATTATCACTTAGAAAACTTCATGAATTTGTAGAGACCAGGGGGTCTTCTTGGGTCAGTAGAGCTACAGATTAGACTCAAAATGACTCCTTATCGACTCACACCGCACGTAGTTCAGACATTATTCACAGGTCATTGCAGAATTTCGGTGAAAGCAGAAAGAAATATAAAGTCATCCAGTCCAAACTTGTAGTTTGAGAACTGTATTTTTGGAAGGTAGCTCTTGACTGACCATGATCTGCCATTGTTGCATCTCTATGTTAACTTTAACTTACCATTGTTACCAACAAAAACAAAAGTATTTAAAGAAACAGTACACAGAAACGCGATCATAAGAGAGTGTTCACTCAGGAATTCTGCATACAAACAGTTCAGTTGTGTTAAAAAGCAAAACAGTGTAATTGTTTTAGTCAGAGTTAGATTTTTTCACTTTGATTTCATTAAACCTACAAAAACAAAAAGGAAAGACACTGTTCTCTATAAAAGCATTTTTTTCTCGTCTATTTGTTCTTCATAAGCCAGTTAAATTAACTTATCTTTGATCAAATACTTACAGTTGAAACATGACAGTAGTTTTAATATTTTGCAAAGGCCAACTACTTAAAGTGTAGTAGGACTGTAAGTGTTCATTTCTGCTTTAGTTTCAACACCAAATTTGTCATTTCACTAAAGAGGATACTGTGATAAACTTAGCTTTGCTAATGCTAGCTGTCACACTAGTTTAACTAAGTGTGAGCAAGAAGTGCAATCCTTGTTTTTTTTTATTCTTTAAAAGCATTTTTTTAAACAAATTGACACTTCTCTTAGGTTTTATATTTGCATTTGCTTCAACAAATGTCGACAATATAAGGTCTCAATTTAATATGTGCCAAGTACCGTTTGTAGTTATTCTATTTTTGCTTTTTGTGCAGAAAAGTTCCCCATTGCATGATTGCTGCCCTATTAAAAAGTCTTACTGCATGAGTTTGACATGTATACGCACACAGCCATGCCTATGTATGTGTATGTAAACAAGTTGCACAAAAGTGAATAAATGCCAAAAAGACCATGTTAAAAACGTACTCATGCACACACCTAAGCAGTGCAGCAGTACAGCAGCCTTCCCCTCAGCCTGACTGAAAGCAGCTGGAATTGGTACTGTCACATTTAGAGACTGATTGATGTGATATTGCATTTCAAACCACGTCACTTTCAAGCCCGTGTGTGATATCAGTCTCTTGCCTCCAGGCCTTCAATAAAAGCTGGAGAGAGTAGGTCACCCACTGGCCTGTATCTGACAGGCAGGGTGTCTCTGTCGATAGTATGACCTCTGTGGAGGCAGACAAGATTCACCTAGAGTCAGCGACCACAGTCTGTGCAGCTTCATGTGACTGAACCAGAATCACAGCGGGGATTCCTTTGGGGAACGTGAAACATTGAGACATTGATGTGGACTCATGTTCTAGAACTATAGCTCTGAATAAGTGATAATAATTAGAGCTGTTGTGTGTATCTCAGGAGCAAATTAAAAAGTCCCAGCAGTGACATCGATCGTGTTTTCCTCTGTGGCCAGCTGAAACACAGCTGAAGTCATTCAAACAGACATCTTCCTTTGTTGCCCTTCTGCTCACTTTATCCCACTCTTTCCCTTTTTTCTTTGCACCATGTTGACAGTGTTGGTGACAAACTGGCCATATTAAAAAGGGAGAAGACAAGAGTATATTGAGACAGCAAGCGAGTGTTTGTTTCTGTGAGTAAGAGAGATGGGAAGAGGAGGAGAATGGGAGATTCCCCTCAGACCAGAGGGCTTGGCAGGGTCAGCAGTGTGTGTGAGGGAGATAATATTCTCTGTTTATGGCTCCATGGTTTCACCTCTCGCTTGCACTCTTGCTGCACCTCTCTCTGTCTTTTTCTCAATACTTCTTTTTCCCATTGGCTGTATTAATATTTGAAGCACCATTATTTACTTCAGGCGTTCAGTCTGGATGAATTATCCTGTTGTGTTTCCATAGAGCCTGTAAGCTCAAGGCTAACGGAAATGCAGCAGACGTTTCTATACAAAAGGAAATAACTGAATGTCCTTAGTAGTAACCTTTTGCCTTGATTATTATCATACTGTTATTTATCTTCCAGATGAAATATGATTTAATTTGTGTACTGATCTTTGTTTTTTCTGTCATGTCTTTTACAGTTAGAACAGATCCAAAAGCACACATGGTACATGTAAGTACTTCTCTCTTTACTTTATTTTCTCTCCTCTCCTCTCCTCGCTTATTCCTCCCCTCCTTGCTTATTCCACAGGGGATGTAGGCCTGAGGGAAGCTACCTTATGATAAATGGCTTTGAGTTTCAGCACTGTACACAAGTATATTCGCGCAGGGCATGACACCACTCTCGGGGATGTGGGGGTAAATTAGTAGTGCATGAAAGAGGATGTGTAGCATACAGTCAGCTGGTCAGGGAGCAGAGGGAAGGAAACAAGCAGGAAGGTGGGGTAGGAGTGAACCCACCCAACCTCAGTTTATCCATCGCTAAACTTTCATTACAGAGCAGCATAATCTTTTGGGAAAAATCCTACATTATGCCAGTTCATTTCTAATAGTCTTTTTGGATTATTTACTCTCGTTTGTTTTTGGTACGGCTCAAACCCTCTCTCTTCTAATCAGATTATCACCACTTACAAGTTGAAGTTGACCTGCTACAAAAAGAGGGATTTAAAGATTTTATTGCAAGACTTTCGAATCTTCTTTCACTGAGAGCAAAAGATGAATCATGAGAGGAGATTGTGACTCCCAGACGGGGCTGAGTTATGGTGTCTGTCTTGTGCACAAATGTTCATGCAAACAGACAGCGAGACTGATAGAAGAAACAAGCGGAGACATGAGAGAAGACTAATGCAGAGCAAGTTTTGTCAGTGAGGAAGTTTCCCCGGCCAAGTGTCTGTCTGAATGAGTGAACATATGAATAAATGAATGAGGTTCTGTTTCTCAGAAGCAGCTCGTCAGAGGCAGGTGAGAAGGAAATGTATGCAGACATTTATCCATTTCATACAAACTGCATGTTTTTCCATTAAGATACGGTATGCAGGTTTTAGTTTTGTGGGTACATGTACATGACAGTGTAAAAGCAGGAGCTGAGCAGAGCTGTGGTGCTGAAGGGACAGCGCCAAACCTTGTTCACAAGTATCACTAATGACCTGCAGGAGACAAACATGCACTCAGCTATGCACTGTTAACTTTAAAACAAAACATATATTGGCATATAAATATTCATATGTTGTGTATTTAAACTTTAAAATCCTTGTTTGCTGGTTTTGGAGCCTTTATTTTAGTCATTGCTGCTTTTAAACTGTATAAACCTTCAATAGTTTTTAAAAGATGGACTGTTAAAATGGAAACTCTATAGTTTAAAGTGGGTGACTTCATAGAAAAGTGTAAGGTATGATTTTTGCATTTTTTTCCATTGCCCAATCACCAATTTTTATTTGCTTACAAGAGGCAACCACTGGGCATCCAGTCCACATGTTCATACCTTATAGAACAGGGGAGTTGATTTTAATATCTGCCTTTGGGGCTAAAGCTTCAGTGGGTTTACCAGAAAAACAAAACAACATGAATGGAAAAAAGTGGAGGTGGTTACTTGTATAAATATTGGCACATTGTTAGAGACTGAGGATGAATTTGCTCTCTGAAACAGACATTTGGAATTTTCCACAAATCCTCCTGAATGTGGTGTCAGTGGAGATAATCCTCTGATTTGTTTTAAGCAAAACAAAAGCCAGAAAGAAAAAACAGGGGACATAACTAGGAGAGTGTCTGGGAGGAAGTGGGGACTAATGAAGAAACTAAGTGTGGTAAACAAGCCAGGAGGATAGAGAGAGAGAGAGAGAGGGAGAGACTGCAGATCTTACAAAATGACTCAGAATGAGTCAAAATGACTAAAGTTGGGGGAAATTCGTGACTATGAAAGTTTGAAAAAGGGTTCATAATGAGGTTAACTTCTTACCTCAGATGACAAAGGGCTACACAAAGCTGAACATGTAACATAATGCAGTACATGCTCTCTTAACTTGTAATCTGCAGTGTGAGAACTCCTCTAGAAGTTATTTAAAGGTGGTCATTTCTTTGTAATGCAAACATATTTAATCAAGTTGGAACCAAAATGTGCTGACAGTGTCCTCCTTTGCTTTCCCAGAGGGGGGAAGAATGAACCAGAGCCAGAGCAGCCCGTGCCCAGGAAGGTGGCCATACGCAGCCTGCCCTCTGCAGACGACATCGACCCAGACGTACTGGACAGCATGCACTCACTGGGCTGCTTCAGGGACAAAAACAAACTACTGAAGGACCTGCTCTCAGATGAGTGAGTAAATGGAGGGGCAACAAGAAAGGGAGGAAATAGGTGGTATGAAGAAGAAAAAAAAAACGAAAAAGAGCATATGGTTTTGGTAGGGGGAAAAATTAGAGCTGGACAAAAAAGGTGAAAAAGTCTGTGTTTGTGTAGGGGGGGGGGGCAGCTGGAGACAGTGAAAAGAGATTCGGGCTCGGCCTTGGATTTTCTCCTGTTCTTATGAAATCCTGTGAGGCTGTCACTTTCGATGTCAGCAGCTATGGATCACTTAGCTGTTATCACACAGCGCTTACACCGCTTGCCACTGGATACAATCCTGCAAAAACTGATCATAGCTTGCTCTGGAACAAGCTCCTGGGTCACACGGTTTTATTCTGCTACTCATGGTTAAGTCTCAGTAGCATATGGCTCCTGTTTCTTTACACTGCATTCTGCTTAAACATTAGTTTTTTCTGAATGTCAGTATTCGGATGTGGAGTTTTAAAGCTTTTTCTGCTTATCTTTCTCATCTCCTTTTCCTCTATTTTAAATTTACCCGGCTTCTTTAATTTAACACTAAGCGAGCATTACTCTATTACTTCCCCCTCTCCTACTCTCCTCATTTTGCTGCCATTCTCCTGGGAGCATCCCATAATAGTTCCGGACTGGAGCAAAATCTGCTGTCTGTATCTCCCTTCCCCTGGTTCATTTTAGCTGAAGTTGCTGGTCCTTGTCTCTTTGCCTCCTACTGCTTTCCAATCTGTCTTTATTATATAGGGCCAATCCCCGGGCTTCATGCATAGAGAGTGCTGGCCCAGAGACAGAAGATATCAGGCTTCCAGATTTACAGTAGAAACAAAAGGACAAACTCATCATTTTGATACTCTGTGTTCATTTTGATACTTTTCATAAACTTTCTAGAAGGCTGCGTATGGTGAGAGGTCATATCCTTAAGTATATATGCAGATTATTATCAGACAGCTTAATGAGCCGTAGAGCTAAAGTTTGGTTTTAATGATGAAGCCTGTTGAGGAGCTGTTTCACAATGAGCCCAAAAAAAGATTAAAGTACATTAATCATTGTGAGGATTTTAGCATTTTAATAGTTTTGAGCTCTTGCAGGCAAATGCTAGTGCCCACATGTATGAGTTTATTATTCTACACACATGTATGTGGTTGAAGTTATTGTATTAAACCATTGGATCTCTATGCCAGACCCTTACGTTTTTTTTCTTTTTTGTACGGTCTCCTTCTTTGCAGTGACAACCAAGAAAAGATGATCTACTTCCTGTTACTCGACCGTAAGGAAAGGTACCCGAGTCAGGAGGACCAGAACCTGCCCCCACGCAATGAAGTCGGTGAGGCTCACACTGATAAGTACGGTAGGGTATACAGAGCCTCATTATAGAAAACAAATTATCTGAGTTTTTGGGAGTGAAGTTGTAATATTAGGAGAGCAATGATGTAATAGTTGGAGAATAAAGACGGATTATTACAAGAACAAAGAAATATTTCCAGAAAAAGTCGTAGTTTTAGCTAGTATGTTATTTTGAACAGGAATATCAGATGACCAGCCATGTGTGGTAAATGATCTTGTGGAGTTACAAATAACTGTATACTTATTCTTTTGGCAGATCAGCATTACATTGTCATATCGGGAAGCTTCAAAAAATTGAGCTAGAAACTGAGTCTACTCCAAAGAAAGACAGTTTTATTGGCAGCCCCTTGTATTACATTTTTATCATCATGTCAACTTTATTCTGTCTTGAAATCTAAGATTTAGTTTTCTTCAACATGCCTCTGAATCAGGTGCGTAGATGAAAAAAAAAACTGCCACATTATGCAAAAGAATATCTGAAGAATAAAACTAAGAGAAGGTCTTATTTTAAACCCTTCTGCTTTGTTTTCATCCCTTAACAGAAACTGGATGAGCTCAAGTAGTGGTGGATTGCACTCCAATAGAAAAAGGCTACTGTTTATTGAATAAAGTAGCAGAAATAAAACAGTGTCAATAGGCCAAAACAACAACACCAACCTGCCAGCCTTAACTGCTGTGGTTAAGATATTAGCTCATCAGAAAAAGGTATTCTCCCATCCTTACACCACAACCCGGCACAGATTTCCACCTTCAGAAATCTGAGCAGGATCAGAGCTGCTCTACTTAGACTTCTGCCAGAGTTATTTTCTGACAAGAGCACTGCAATAGGAGGAATTTTATCGTGCGAGAATGTGTGAGAGCGATACCGACATTTTGATGAATAGACTCCCTCTTCAGTGAGTGTGATACAGTCAATACAGTGGCCATTAGTTCAAGGTCTCAGAGAGGAAACCATTACTTATTCACCATTGGATACAATGTCAATGCGATCAGCGGGCACTTAACATTGTTCAAGCACTCACACATGTGCACACCATGCATAATACTGCTCAATGTGTAGAAATATAGGAATTTATAAGCAGAGATGTCAGGTCACGTACAATGAGTTGATTTTAAAGTCAAAGAATCTCGCGCAGATCCTCCAAGGAAGCGGGTGGACTCCCCCATGTTAAACCGTCACGGCAAGAGGAGACCAGAGAGGAAGTCCATGGAGGTCCTCAGTGTGACGGACGGAGGCTCGCCAGTACCAGCAAGGAGGGCAATCGACATGACACAGCATGGACAAAGGTATGCATGGAGGAGGACAGAACATGTTTGGAAAAATCGAAAACGTTGTCATATGATCAGAATAGACAAAAAAGGATTCTGCAACCCAGAGGTGTAGGAGCAGGTCTGACAGTGAGTTCCCGTTCTAATGCAAAAAAAAGGCTTCACTGCAGGCACAAACAGAGACTGATGCTCTGCTCGCTTTGTCTTCTGTCTTACTGTAGTAAATCAGTGTACAGTAAAAGCCTGGATATTCCAGACGCCGGTACAAAACGCAGCAAAGAAGAAAGGTATTCTTTTGCCACTCTCTCCTCACCCCCTCACCCCCTCTTGCTTTGTGTCTCACTAGGGGACGTTCATAGAAGGAGAAAGATGCAGCTGTGCTTTATTTTGAAGGGACACTTTGTTTGGATGTAAAAGACACGTGCAGCATGAAGCCATTCAAACATAGAACTAAATGAGCCGTCATTTTGTCAAAACTAGGTATGAACCGAATGAGACCGATGAGGTCAAATGTGGATTTGGATGTTAAAAAGCTGATAGTTGATGTTTTTCATAAATGAATTCTTGTTGTTTATGTTTTAATTGCCCCATCAGGACCAAAGACTACCATTAGTCAACATTTTAAAAACACAAGTTAACATTGTAGAAGTCTCTTAGGCCTTCATTACACAATATTTGTGTCAGTTTTCTTTATTTTATAAAACAACCATTAATTAAACCATTTTTCTAATACAAAAGATTCTTCTTTTTTATAACTGCTCCAAAGCCTCTTTAGCCTGCTTTACAACCACTGTAAGAAGTATATGTTAGCACTTATACAACCCACAAAAACCTTCTTTTTGTCCACACAAATAATTGAATATTAGCAATAAAGCAATAATCCTTGGCTCACAGGAAATCCAATGATTGATGCATTCTCTACTTCTCTTTTGAGGCTGTGACCCGGAATAATGTTTATATGGATGATTGGTCGTGTGACCATATGTATTTAACACACCTGTGTTTGCCCTGTGATTACGCTGGCCGAACATGAGGTAGCTACAGGGCGAATAGTTGTTGTTCGCTCACAATAAAGTTACAGAAAGTCATTTTCAGTCAGCCACTGATTATTGATTTATTTTTCATTCTGTGTTTCTGCAACCAAGCTGCACCTGAAAATGTAGGTAGGCTTTGACAGGGTACCCTGTTGGACTTTACTATTACCATGAAAATGAATGCATAAATAGTTGCTAAAAAAAATTTAATACATTTAAAGGTTGAACTGGGTGATCATTCAGCTCTTGTGCTTTTTAGTTAAAATTATGTTTGTTTTTTTAGGTAAAGCTTTTAATGAATTTAATTTTAAAAAACGGAGGAAGACCGCTCATTTGCAATTCAGAGCCGTAAAAATCTATAACCCCCCGTTTTCCGGTGTTAGCTCAATTATCCAGGCACTTTATACTCTGATTGCATTGATAATCAGTTCTCCAAAACTGTGTCCCACTTTCTCCAGATGCAGAACAGTTTCTCTATTTCTCTATTTCTCCATTTTTCAAAATGTTCAAGTCAAGCCAGAACAACACCCCCACAAGGCACACTGGTTTTAAATCTATGTCCTCATCTTATTTCAACAACCAATATATCATCACACTGCACGTTCCCGCTCACAGGCACTGACATTTGTGACAGCGGGGAAGATTGAATCTGAGGGGGGTGACGACCTGATCTGCCTAATGATCGGCACATTGGTGGAGTGCTGGAAAAAGCTTTTTAGAGACGGGGAACATAAATGCTTTAGGAGGAAGCACATATATTGTATAGATCAAAAGAATATAGAGCTATAAAGTTGAGTATTCACTCAAATGTCAGATGCATTTATAACCCCTCACTGTAGAGCTTTGCCAACAACAAAATATCAAGAATTTATTTCCCTCTTCATTTCACTGGAGGACGCCACTTGAGAAGTTGAAATCCATTTCGAGAGCTCCCACCTCCAAACACTTCTGCTTAATTCTCTCCTTCCTCTGGTGCCTCTGAATTTATTTCAGTTTTTCAGATTCATCTTTCCTCTGTTTCATCGCCTCCTTCATCCCCTCAGGCGATCCACGTCTTATCCCTTCTTTATTTAAAGGGTGCGTTAGCTTAGAAGCCGTCTCCTTCTGCCCTTCCCTCTGACTCATCTCTTTTAGTCAAGCGCAGAATCCCAAAATAGGCCAGTTTGCAATGACTTTATCGAGCATTAATAATACTTTTACAAACAGCAGCGTCAACGGCAGTTCATAAATCACACACAGCTGAACGGCCTTTGTCGTAAAGGGCAATGAAACAAGTGCTCTAACCCTTTATTTGAAACAGGACCTTTGTGTTAAGGCGTATACATCACAATAAAAAGATACATCTACATGTAAAATAGGTTTCTGGAGCCTATATCAGTAGCTGCATTCATTAAAAAGAGCTCTGCTGCATCTTCCTTCCATGCTATTTTCTATCAGTGTGTTTCTTCTTTACCCCTCCACCCAAATCTCTCTCTCTCTCTGCCCCCTTTATATCTCCTCTTTCTCTCTCTTTCTTTCTCCTGTGGTCCCTTGTGTGCAGCTGACCTTCAGTCCCAAACGCCCCCCTCTGTTTATATGGAATTGCTATGCTAATGTGGAAATGCTGCTAGTTTTTCTCTGTCTGGCTTCCTATCAGGTGTGGTGGGTTGGAGGTAGGGGGGAGTCCAATATATCGCAACCCCCTCCGCCTCCAAATCAAATCATCAGATCTCCTTCTTTCTATATGTCCCCCTCCCCCCCCAACTGAAAAATCACAGCTCTGCAACAGTGAATGGAAAAAGATGGGAGGACCAAGTCTGTGTGAATGTGTATTTATTTTAAAAACGTTTCTAGCTTTTTATCCAATACTTGCGTGTGCTATGTTTGATCAGTGTGTGCTCGTTTGTGTGTGTGTATTTAGAAGATGATGCCGGGGAAGCGCACACGTAGCAGAATGACGTCCAAAGATTTGACGGACTTTCTCTGAACCTAACCTTATCTTTCCCCGACAGCAAACTTTTGTTGACAGCCCCGAAATTTTGTAGAACTTCAGATCAGAGGGTGTCAGACAGAGCACTGACTTTGAAGCATGTGTTTTGACAGGATACTTTTCTACTAGCCCAAATGGTGAAAGATAGGCGAAAAGGGTTTTTTATCTGAAATAACGCAACAAAAAAATGCCTGAATCCTCAATTCTTACCAAGCATTCGACTTCTCATGTCATCATGCAGGAAGTTGCAATCTGATCAACTGCCCAGGCTGCATTTTCATGTGAAGTGTGATTTGCCTGCATCTATGAAGTATGATTAAATAGATTGGCGATAAATGCTTTAGTATAGCCATGTTGCAGAGGAATCCACATGGGGCCTTTTTCATATGCATGCTCATTTCATTCTTCATACACCCCAAAGTCTCTTAAAAAGACATTTAAAGCTGAACTCAAAGCTTAAGAAATCCCACTGATTTAATTTTAAATCTTAACAACATGCCAGGAGAAATGAAGGGAGGTTAATGATATGTAAATGAAATATGGAAAAGTACTGCAGTGTGAAGAAGAGAATATCAATTGATTTTTTTTTTCCTTCACTGATCTGCTCTAGTTGCTTCATGCAGCTTGAATGTGTTGGGTTAGCAGGAGCAGTCTTAATAAGTCGGGCTCTCATGCTAATTATTGACTCTAATTTATTTAAGAGGCTGAAATGAGCACAAATAAAGCACCTTTAACACCGATCTCCACAGCACAAACTGCAGGGGTCTAACTACGTTGAGGAACTTGCAGAGCTGAGCTGTGAATATTAATGCACGAGTCCTCGGGGAGTTGTCAGGGTGCAGGAAAGGAAATGAATTTAAAGAGTGTGTTGATTTTTATGAATATCTATTCATTGGAGGAGAACTCCATTGGCTGGACAAAGTCAATTTAAAGGAGGGGTGGCAGAGAGAAAGAAAGGAACTCTTCTCCATTTTCCCCTAAATTGCACCAGCAGAGCAGCAGCATTGTGTTTTGGCTGAGGCTGTGTTATTCGCTCGCAGTTTGACTTCTGGCACCATCCATTTCATTTTGCTTCACTTTCTTTTATTTCAGTCCATGCCCTCATCACAGAACCTCTTGTACTTGTTCCGTCCCCCACAGCCAAACATTAGACCCCCACGGGTGCTTTGGATGGGTCTCAGCCTCCTCTGGTGGTCACACGCTGAGGACATGGGCCCTGATCCAAAATAGGCTTGTAGGAAATGTTAGCTGGAGGACTAATGGATAATAGACAGATGAAAAAGGGTGGCCACACGCATACTACACCCCCCCCCTCCACACACACGGCTAGGTAAAGGGAAAGTTCACCCAAATTGCACCACATTTTTTAAATACTAAAACAATACAGGCAAACGCGTTTTTAAAGTTATATATACTTTCGTTTTCCGGGATGGTATATGATATTTGAGTCACAGTTGTTAAAAAGGGGAAGGTGGCATAAGGATAAACTGTATCCTCTTCTCTGGAACATGTACTGCTTGATTTGCATCAAATAGAGCAGTACACATTGTTGTCAAGGTTTACCTTTCATATTGTATACTGCTATTCTTTTTTCATTATTTATCTAATTGTACTTTATTATCAAGGTCAAAATAAAAAGAGGAGTTATTCAATGTATAGATGGGGATTGGGCAGCGCAATATCCACTTCTGAAGAAATACTTAAAAAGGACAGGAAAGACTTTAGAATATTTAAGGAAAGACTTACAGTAAGTACAACAACTTCAAAAATGTATTTAAATTTGGTACTTAATGTTCCTGTCAACACTTTCACCACTGGTATTTAGAGTTTTGAAAAAAACAGTATTTAAGTAAGAAGAATAAGTCTTTCCACAAACAATTTATAAATGATATTTATAATACTTAAAAATGCATTCAAATGATAAACTAACCGCTAGAAAAAAAACTATGACAATCTGTAGATGATCCTTATTTATGTCTTAATTATTGTTAAATGCTAAAAGCTCCACAAATGAAATTTCACTTACCATTGTGTTTTTTATTTATTTTTAATAATTCATTCTGAAGTGGAGACAGATATTCTTGCAGAACTTTAGCACATGACCAGATACTAGTAGAGAACCTGCTTTTTGTAATTTAGTCGAACTGACCCTTTAAAGCAAGCACAAACACCCTGAATATCAGAGGGTTTAGCTGACTTCAACATTTCCTTTCTTACTGATTATATATCAGTATGTGTGTGCTGCTCACTGTGAATACTACATTAATCAACAATAATTTATAGTCTCTCCAAAGCTATGTCGGACTCTTGACAGCCCATTACTGTACAACACAACCATCTGTAACATTAGCTTTGTAGACCTGTGTGCCCAACACTAACAGATGCAGAGTGCTTCTAACAATATGCTCATAATGGCCCAAGGATGCTGCGTTTGGACCATGTTTAGATGGAGTGCAATTGACTGTGGGCATGTCTCTGTGGACGGCAGTGTCTTAATTTAAATGTTAGCAGCAGTCTGGTCAGCTGCTCTCTGAAACAAAAAGCCAACGTGGTCTCAGCTTCGCCTACTCATGTGTGCATGAGTGTGTGCAACAAATACACTCACACAAGAGGCAGCGAGAGAGTTACAGAAATAGCTGGAGTGTGGGTGTTTCTACATTTCTCTCTCTCTCTCGTGGTGGCTATAAGTGTTGCTTCTATTATGTTTCATCTGTGTCCCTCAGGAGAACCCAAATAAGTTCTTCTACCTCTGAGATTGATACAAATGGAAGTTAACCCATAAACCCAGGCTCCTTCTTTTGACAGCATCATTTTTATGGCTGTGACTATTAGCTGTAACCGTCTACACAGTTTTGTGTCCACGTATGGACGCCTGTGTGGTCCAGTGGGACTGCTCAAGCTTCAGGAATGAACATCAATCTCAATAACTCCATCCTTCATTCTCCCTCATTCCTCACTCTTTAACTCCCTCTTTCTCCCATCACATGAGATCTTTCTCTACAACCTAGCAGGTCAGGGAAAAAACCCCAGTACTTTTAGTATTTAACTAGTCATCGTTTAAAAGGAGACAAAAGATCTGCTGGTAACAAGTCACAAATGCATTAAAATTGCAGAGATAGAGAGGAAAGGAGAAAGAGAGAAGGGGGGGGGGGTTGGTATTGTTAGATTGAATGACAAAAAGGAGCAGTGTTGTGACAGTGAGCAGCTGGTGTTTCCGTTGTTGACAGTGTTTTGGTGTGCCCGTGTGTGTGTGTGTGTGTGTGTGTGTGTGTATGTGTGCATGTGCGCTTGATGGAGACAGATTGTCCTGTGATTGTTCATTTCGGAGCGGGGCGCCGCTCATAGGGGTTATTGACGGCATCTGCAGGGGAAAAAAGAAAAAAAAAACATGACAAATGGCACTCAACCAAATGTCCCACTTCATTTGCCCGAGAGAGATTTCCGGCTGATCTGGTGCAAATGCCTTGAAGTCAACACGTTTGGTTTGTTAGCGAGCTATGGACGGGGAGGGAAGCTAATTTAAAAGCTCATCTGTGGAAGGCAGGGGAGGCAGGGAAGTTGCTGTCAAATCAACATATTTGAAACTGAAGTTTGAGCCTAATTGGTTTGAGACTAATTGCGGGGAGTCAATGCTAGTAATACCTGTTGACAAGTCAGCTCTGTAACAGTGTGGGTAAGCTTTAACCCACTTTGTGTTTTTAGTGTTTTGTTTGCAAAGGGCTCGGTAGCAACTGCTGTGCTTAGTACGACGGTAACATATGCTGTAGTGCCTTCTAACTGCGTGCAACATGTAACCTCCATGCCCTCAACTCCACCTGTGTTTACTGGAACATGTAACCGCTACACATGCTGATCCCACAAATTATCTCTGTCCCTGTGTGTGTGTTCTTGCTTGTCTGTGCCACAGGTCGCGGTCTATTAGCGGAGCCTCCTCCGGCCTCTCCACCAGCCCCCTCAGCAGCCCACGGGTAAGTCAAGACCCACACACACACACACATTCAACACACAGTGTTTGACTCAGTTCTCAGGTATGTAGTTGTCTGCCTGCAGGGATAACAACCATCCTACTACAGATGATCCCATCCTTTTCACTGATTATGTCTGCTAGATATAATACAGTTACTACAGCTACGTTGTGAGGGTTCTGACCTTTAACAAAGCACTCAATTAAAGCAATATCTGTAGCTCTCTGTCGGCACATGAAATATTGTTCCAATATTCTGCTTTTTTATTCCAGGGATATTGTATATTTTTCCAATCTTAAAATATGAATCCATCTGCATTTGAGTTTCCACTTGAGATCCAGTATGGTTAACAATTCATTTCCTGTGTTAGATCAGACTTTACATGTATCATCACTGTTGGATCTCGAAGTAAAACATACTAATATACACACACAGGAGGAAATGACAGCAAAGCAAACATCCTCCTACCCTAAAGCCTCCTCTGTTTCTCTTCTAAGTCTTTTCTGCTTATTATACCTCTCTCTCGCTCTGTTTTCTGTGGCTTGAGTTCTTTGGAAATCCAGCTCAGCGAATGCTTCAGCAAATCCCACTTTTCTTGCTCAGAGCTGGGGAGCTTGTCGTCAAACTTTTTCCAGCTGACTAACCTGAGAAGGCTCAAGATTAGTCCAGATCTTAAGACAAGCTCCTCACAGGCGCACAGGTTCTTTCAGGCTGATCTGAAAGGGAAATTGATTTCCCCAGACCTACCCAAAGCTGGGATTGTGCTCTCAGCGAGAGGCTCCATGTGGGGTTATTTTCTTATAAGGGGAGGCGTTTGAGGGGAAATGGCGCACCACTGGAGGCGGCAATTTCACCAGTACCAAATGAAACAGATCAATACACCTATATGGAAACTGCAATCTGACTGCAGAGATACCCAGGTGGCGTCCCTCCTGTCATTGAAACAGCCCAAATTGTCCTCACAGCTGGCTAAATGTCTCTCTTAACTGTCTGTGTGTATTTTCTCTGTTTGCTAAGGCCTGCATGTTTTATTCTTTTGTTTTGCCATTTTTTTAGTGTGTGCATCGCTTGCTGTCTTGTTACCATTTTACTTTTGTTTTCTTTTGCATGACTCACTGAATGGTCTAACTGCATGTTTCTTTTCTTTTCTGTCCTTCTTTTTTTTTTCTTTTTGCAATGCCCCCAATCTCTCCTGCGTATGTACACCACACCTGCCTCTCTATTCTTTGTCTGCCTCCACTTCTGGCTGTGTGCTTGTTTGATCTGCTGCACTTTTTCCTGCTTTTTCTACGTGTTTGTGTACCTGCATTGGTCCCCATGTGTTTTTCTTTGTTTTCCTCTCCTCCTCCACCTGCTCTGGGCTCCTCGTTGTGTTTTTCCACGTGTTCTCGTACCGTGTCCTCTACCTCCAGCCTGTCAGAAAGTTCTGTGTGCCGCCTCAGTCCCCAGACTTGTTACAGTCCCCTAACACAAGCCCCTGCCCGTCCCCTGAGCCAATCCCCATCCGCACAGGCCCCCGTATCTCCACCCCTAACTCTCTCACTCCGAACAGCGAGCCCTTGCCGGCAGCACTCAACAAAACGCAGACGCTCCCTGCCAAGCCCAAAGTTGCCCCAAAGCCTCTACAAGCCACACGATCCAACCCGCTCCCTGAAACATCCCCAGATGCAGCATCTGCAGCCAAATCAGAAACCTTCAATCCCTGCCAGCCCCCATCGCAGCTACCCTCTGCTTCCAGGCCCCCCACGCCTACCTCTCCTTCCTCCCCATCCTCCCCATTCTCCCCGTCCTCCATTCCTAGCTCTCCAATCCCAAACAGCCCCCAGGTACGGCGCTCCCAATTTGCTGCCAACCCCCAGCTCTCAGTGCCCTTCAGCCCCGTGGTGCCGCTGTCGCCCATCCGGCTGCATCATTTTCACCCTGTGGCACCGTTGCCTTCTCTCACTGACCACCCACCCAAATCTATCCCCCTCATACAGGTCACCCCTCATCCCTCCCCTCGAGGCAGCCCCCTCCCCACCCCAAAGGGCACTCCGGTGCACACTCCCAAGGACAGTCCCTCTGGGACCCCCACCCCGACGCCGCCCCCCAGCCCGTCCATCGGAGGCTTGCCTTGGAGGACGCGCCTCAACTCCATCAAGAACAGCTTCCTGGGCTCTCCTCGCTTCCACCGCAGGAAACTCCAAGGTACAATTATTACATCATATCCTTCCTTGGTGTGAATGATCTTTTAATCTTCGTTTCCTTTCTCTGAACCTGACCTTTGACTTTTGCTTCCTAAGTTCCCACACAAGAGGAGATGTCCAGCCTCACACCAGAGTCTTCCCCAGAGTGAGTACATGCTGAACTTTTTGAAGCCTCCACTCTTGCCATAACTATGCATAACTTGTCAGCCCCTCAGTCACTGGCTCAAACTCACTCCTCCTTAATAACTTGATGTTTTGGAAAGTGTTACATCCATGAATGTTTGATTTTTTTGCCTGCCGAGTTCCCTGTAATGACCTCAGGACTGGTCCGCAGCAGTCGGCAGTGGGTTTGTTATGAGGGAGGGAAGGTAGCCCGTGTGATGTTGCAGAGCTCCCAGGGGCCTGATAACTGAAGGTTGGCCTAGATATGCCTGTTTGGTTGGCTGGCTGTCTGTCTGGCTCTGCCATATCCATCTGGCTGCGAAGAACATTCTGGCTGGAAGGAGTTGGAGAACTGTCTGGAAAAGACCTTCTCTCAGGCACACACTCACACACAGCAGCTGTAATGAGCTTCTTACTGCTAAACAATGGGCAGCTAATGTCTCTGCAGATGTTGTAAGATTATTTAAATCTGCACATCAAAATGTATCTATATTTAAGGGGGGAATGTTTATCTTTTCTACATTTTTAAGAGTCTCATGAATTATTAATACACAATAAAAACAGGAGTCCATATGGCTTATTAGTGGGCTCAGGTACACCTGAGCTGAGGCCAGTAGAGAATTCACCCACCTCTGCCCCTCTTGGATTTACAGTTCTGTTCACAGATAGGCTCAATTATTTCCCTCCCTCTCTATCCATCCCTCTAACTTTCTCTCAAAAAAACACACACACACACGCACACACACAGACATTCATGCATTTGCACATACCCAGTTGCACATGAGGTGAAATGTCAGGCAACTTTTCTCCCTCCCCTGCACAGTTTTAGCTCATTCCCATCAAGGTATCCGTTTGCTCCGCTCCATTTTTCCCAGAGAGAGAGAGAGAGAGAAAGAGAGAACTCAACTGCTTTCCATTTTCAGGGTGGACAGATTAGTGGATAGAGGAAAATGATGGACGGAAGCAGTTTGGTAAAACTAAGAGGAAAAATGGAGGAAGACAAACCGGCTTCTATAAAGCAGTAAATGTATGAAACAAATCTTCTATATTCCCACAGACTTGCCAAAAAATCCTGGTTTGGTAACTTCATCAACCTGGAAAAAGAGGAGCAGATCTTCATCGTCATCAGAGACAAGCCTCTTAGCTCCATCAAGGCTGACGTTGTTCAAGCCTTCCTCTCGGTAATGGCTCACTGTCTTGTATAACTTCTACCTTTTCCCTGCCTCCCTAACCTCTTCTGCCCTCTAACCCCCAGCTTGCTGAGGCCCAACTGTTTCCTGTATATCTGCATGTGTTAATGCAGCTGTAATACCTCTTATATCTGCTGCCTGATGCATGATGTTGCTTTTTTAACAGCAGCTGTGGTTGGCTATGCAGTGATGCAGCCTTCTCGTTGAGTGTTTCCTAACATGCAGCTGATTTATGTAGCATTTCAGTAAACTGCTTGTGTTCAGCGCTTCTATTTTCCCTCTGACTGCAGACTCACTTGAGGTCAATGGAAAATCAACAGAGAGCATTGATCATTAGCATATAGATGCTTTGCCCTCAATATGGTGTACTGAGGATGTGTGCACGTCTGTGTGTGTGTGTAATAAGATGTGTACTGAGAGGAATTGAGAAATAGCGTAGATTGTATCTGTGTGTGCACTGTGTTTATAATAGTGTGGTTGTACAAATACTTGCAAGACCGGGGGGCAACATTAGGCTTTCCTCTGGGAGCCTGTGCTAGCAAACATTGAGCTGTGGTGGTAGTTGATATTCAGAGTACAAAATTGAGCAGAACCTACCCTCGACCCAGTCAGATTTAACAAAGTCTTAGTAAATGCAAACTCTGCCAGTGCAGGTCAATGTTAAATCTGTTTCCCCTTCCGTAGAGGTAGCTGTTTTCTCCTATGGTTTATGCTAGCTGCTATCCCGGACGGGAGATTGGCACCTGAATCAGTGGAATTATACCTCTCAGCACACTCACATTAATGGAATGTCAAAGCCTCTCCAGCTCTATGGGTGAATCGTGACTGTTTCCCAGCTCACCTGTTCATCGGGCATACAAATTCATTTTAAGGAGGGAGAGTGCAGTGTTGTTGGATGACTCAAGATTACATTAGCTTAAGTCTCCCTGGCATGCACAGCTACTCCCCGAGGCATTAATCGCCTTAGAGCTTCGACTATGGCTCGCTCACTAGTATGTGGAGGGTATTTTAATGAAGCTCTATTCACCTCACTGTATGCAAGGTGTGGGAGAAAAATTTAACTTCAATGCTCCCTATGTAACATCCTATTACTCGCCCTCTTTATATTACCTAGTTTCATTCCTATCTCTGTCTCTTTGTCCATTTTTCCTTAACTGACTCCTTTTCTTCTTCTTTTTTTTAAATCCAGATCCCCAGCCTGAGCCACAGTGTGATCTCTCAGACCAGTTTCCGAGCAGAGTACAAGTCCACAGCGGGTCCCACAGTCTTCCAAAAGCCGGTTAAATTCCAGGTGGATATCACCTACACAGAGAGCACAGCCGCCACCAAAGAGAACGGCATCTACTCTGTCACATTCACCCTGCTCTCAGGTCAGTTTGTAGAAATGTACTCAGCTTGTATACATGCCCCCAACTGAACTGAACTGAACTGGTCTCCAGTATGTCACATGATGGTCCAACTGTGGATCTCACACGTGGAGTTACCAGGACTGTGACTTATGAGAGCTCATTGGGCGTTACCGAGTCAGAGCTGTAGCATTACAATTTCTGCTTCGAAAGTAAAAACACAAATAGTCCTGCTTAACATATAAACATTTTTACTTCTTTTAGCACATAATGTAATAATAACAGTGTCATCTGTGTAAAAAGATAGAGCGCTATAAGTGAAATAACAACTGAAGAATGCCACACAGAGTGTGCAGAGTGCACATTAAGGCCTGTTAGTTATCTATTGCCATGTCAAAAGACTGTTTAGTTTTTTAATTGTTTATATCAACAGTGCTTTCACATTTTTTACTAAACAGAAAACCAGATATAACTTTTCTGGAAATAATGTTTTTACTTTTTTTTTTTTTGCTTAAACACATTTTAGCTTAGGCTAACAACTTTCAACATATGAGACATCGACCAGGTTGTATTTTTGGAAAACAAAGTGCAGAGTAAATGGCAAAAGGACTTGGACTTGTATAGCACTTTTTATGGTCTTCTGACTACTCAAAACACTGTTTACACTACATCACATTCACCCATTCATACCACAGTCACATGCTGATGGCAGAGGCTCATAAGTTAAGTGTCCAACCACCCATCAGTAGAACTCCATTGACACACATTCACATGCTGCTTGGATAGCAGCAGGAGCAATTCTTGTCCAGTGACACACGACATCATGATCTGCGTGTAGAACCACCGACGTTATGTCTTAGAGATGACTGACTCTATCACTGAGCCTGAAGTCTTGCATAACAAACTACAATGATAAATATTAAGCTTGTGTTAACCCGATTAAAAAAAACATTTAAGTTACACTACTTTAGATTTTGATCAGAGAAACCTTTATAAGTAAGTGACATCATGACACACCTTATGCTTTAGGATTGTTGTCCCTTCCCATCAGCTCCTTGACTTCTCAGACATGATATAAAGTGTGATTTTTTTGGAGTGCTGGAACATTGTGAGGAAAATTCCATGGATTATGTTTGTTTCCCTCTCTTCTGGATGGACCATACAGAAAAAACTGACATGGAAACCCAGGACCTTCATGCTGTGAGAGAGCAGATCAGAGGACAGAGTTAACATACAGGAGGCTTCAATAACAAGTGTGCCTTCTCATCAGGGTGACAGATGCTGCAGAAAACTCAGAGCTCACAAGTCACTTTGAAAAGAGTGGAAAGGCATCTCATCCATGTCAGGGAACATGCAATCCCACTACAAACTGATAAAACTGAACTATATTTGGATACAATAAAGCAAAAGTGCTGCTTTGAGAGGTGGGTGTTTTCAAACTCACTGCCAAGAAGAATGGCTGCCTCAGGATTTTCAAAGTTCTTACAATCCTCACTGCTTGATAAGATTTTCCCCCCAAACCTCCCTGAGCGTAACCAGATGAGGTCTGGCTATGCGAGATTATATACTCTGCAATCATGCGAGCATGCTTAGTCTTGCAGAAACACATGCATTCTATCTTTCACTCTCTTTCTATCTCACACACATACTGACACACTCGCACACACTTAGGGGGAAGGCACATTTGAGCTGAATGAGAGTGTAATTGTGACTGTTTGGAGCCTGCTGGTTCTTCCATGTCACTGACCACATACTGTAAACAACAGGCAGAGTGTCAGCGCTTATTGAAGCCCTTCTGGCCTTTAAAAAAATGTTTTCTGCAGTTTATTATGCTCACACATGTGCTTCTCTTCACTCTTACTTTTTCTGCATTCTTTTTAAACAATCTGCTGTCTGTCTTTCTCCTGCTACTTGTGCATTGTGATGCCATTGATCATAAAAACCTTTCCTCGGTCCATGTGTGTGTTTAGGACCAAGCCGACGCTTTAAGCGGGTAGTGGAGACGATTCAGAGCCAGTTGTTAAGCACACACGACCAGCCTGGGGTCCAGCAGCTCTCTGGTAAGTAGAAATTCCATTTTTTCAACAAATAATTAAAAGATCTTCTCCAATACTCTTCACCCTTACCCCCAAACGCCTCATCTGCCCATCCCGCCCCTTTGGCGACCCTTCTCACCGCTGAAGCTTAGCGAAATTGCTCTCCTCTCTGCGCTTGAAATTCCCCGAGCCACCCTCCGCTTCTGGAAACGGCTTTCTTTTGCATGCCCATGCCTCACTGCCATGAAAGAGTGGGAGTTGCTCCCGAGCAGTGACTACGGGTCAAATGTTGCCTGCTTGCCCTGGCCATGGAGATTAGAGCAGAGGCAGGGTAAGCTGATTTGCATTCTGCTACTTCTGCTTCCAAGAATGATTGTAGGAGCTTGTCACCATGGCAACACCGCTGCACCTCAACACACTCCCACAATGCACTGCTCTGCACAACCACACCACACCTGACAGCACTCTCCTGGTCTCTCTCTCTCTCTCTCTGGGTGCTTGTACAATAGGACCCTCTCCCTTTGTGTGTCTCTGTCCAGGCACCAAGCAGATACAAAAACCTCTGACGGACCTCTTAATCAACATAGAAGCGCTTCACCTTTTTTGACGTTATTATAAACCTCTGTCCACTCAATGTTCTTTGGGTTGATGCCGAGTCCTTGGACCTGTTCACGTCTGTTCTTTCCCCCAAAGTGGTTTCATTTTATGAAGTCAAAGCCCAGTCTGGACGATGACGATAAAAAAGTCAGAATTATGGGTTCCGTCTCTTCCTGTTCTGCTCTCAGCATGTCCTTCCTCGTGAACATCTGCTCTGTTAATGTGCGTCTCAGTCGCCATCCTCATGACAACAGCTCCACCTCGTGGTCGGCCTTGAACTACTACCAGCCTTAAACAAGCTTAATCTCATTCATGACTGTTCTCAGTGAGTCTGTATGTGTGCATCCCTCATTTACACTTTGAAGCCATTCATGAGGTCTGATGCCGGTTTCTGAATTGATAGTAAGAAAATCATATGACTTGGTTCTGTTTTCCATATGCTGTAGGTATCATGGGTAGGCTGACCTTTTTCATGTTATGTTATTCTCACTGGCATTCATGAAATCAGACATTCATTCAACCTTTATTACTCTAAATCTTGAGATATCATTGAGATTATTTTGTCGACAACAACATCAAGAGTACTATCGATAATGCAACAAAAATGAAATAATTAAAAGTAACAACTGTTGCAATTAATGCATTTTCTTAAGACAGTCCTCCCTGAGCTTCCCCTGAGCCGGAGGGACAACCAGAGGAGACTGCTCAGGGGACATGAGAGGTTTTTATTGGGCTTTAGGAAATTAAAAAGTCGGATTGGAGCCAATCCATTAAATGCTAAATTTAAAACATGTTTTAAAAATTGTCCATGTCATTAGGTATCTAGAAAATCTGGCAGAATGGTTCTGCACAAGCTACTCATGTAGAGGGAGTTACAGTTGTTAAGGCAAGGAGTTTTAAATGAAAATGTAGCTTTTTAGTTAGAAATAGCAGTCTTGGGGTGCAGATGGCCCAGCAGTTAGATCACTCCCCATGTACCGAGGCTATAGTTCTCCTAGCAGGCGACCAAGGTTTGATACCGACCTGTGGCTCCTTTCCCACATGTCAGTCTCCACTCCCTCTCCCTGGTTTCCTACTCTATGCACTGTCCTATCTAATAAAGGCAAAAAACAAAACAAAAAACAAAACAGTCTTTCAAAAGGAGTTTATCATGCAATGACAGTTGGCAGAGATTAGAAAATAGATGACTGATGAGTTAAAGAGGGCCAAACAGCACGGCTTTAGTTTTCAGGACTTTTGGACAACCAAAACTAAGTGTGATTAAATTGAAACACATGTTGTGGGTTTTATTTTCCACAGCAGAGATTCCATTGTAAGAGCAAATCTTAATTTATAAGATCCACTTAAAGCATCAGTGGTTCCTTTAAAGTGCTTCACAGCTATAACATGTCAAATAGCTCTGTTCATTACTAATTATCACAGCTGAGTATAAAAGACCAGCTCCCTTTGATCAAGGTCAGACTTAATTAATTTCATGACTTTAAACTATTAAAGTGTTTCAGAGTGTTTTATGAATCTTTGAACAGGTCGATCTGTGCTTGGCAGTAAATAAAAGCACAGCAGTTAAACTCAATTTCCTCCGCCCCCGTCTTTCCTTTGACCTCCTAACACACCTTTCGAGCTACCTGACCACAGGGCTTTTCAAAAGAAGCCAATAGCTGTAATTAAGAATAGAAATGGCTTTGCATACCAATGTGTGTCAAACAAAAGGCTTCATCAAGTCCTGGTCATTATGTCCCCTAATCAGCACTAACAGTGGCGTACCTGAGAGCTTTGGCTTAGGGAGACAATAGAGGAGTGGAACAATGACAGATGTGAGGAGGAAGGTAGTGAGCTTACTTCAGGACTACAGAGAACAATTATTCATTCAGAGAGAGAGTGTGTGTGTGTGTCTGTCTCATTGAACAGCTAACATCATTAACTTTTATGAGTTTACTGTCAGTTTAGAAAATGTGCAGATTTGGGTGGAGTTCAGTGACTAAATGTGGAATATTTTCACACATGAGAAAGTAGAAGGGAGCACGAGGGAGATGCTGGCTGCAAACATTTTCCAGCGGGGTGATAGAGCTGGCAGAACCAACTGCAATGAAGAAACCAAGACAACAACAAAACCACTTTTATTCATTCATGACTACACAAAGTCTGCCCAGGTCACCAGACTTCTGCAGCCAAAAAAAATCCCCTTTGTAGCAGAATACACTATCCAAACCAGTGTGCTTTCAGACAGACAGACAGACAGACAGACAGACAGACACTGAGGTATAGAAATATGTTGATCAAAAGTTATTGCTTTTGCTGTAGGCAGACTTAAAGCACAAACATTACTGTGTTAGATACCCCTGAGCTGGTGTCTTCAGTGTCTTTGTCATTCATCAACTTTGTCTTAAGTTTTGAGCTTTATCAATATTGTTCCTCCATCTTGTGAGCAGCTTCTAACTGGCCCAGAGAGTTTCTTTATTGCGTCAAGCTTTCTTGTTTTTCATCATACTGTGTATTTGTAAAGGAAATTTACTTTAGTATCAGTCAACAGACAGCAACACTCTTAAATTTGGTTGCTTGATTTTATTTTTTTTTTTACAGCGTATTGTGTTTTCACTCGCTGTGCTGTGACATGGATGTTTTATCGGAGCTCAAACATCACACATTTTCGACAAGCCTGCTCGGGCAGTCCTCATCCTCACAGTGTCTGCTTGTCCTCCTCTACCTCCTCCTCCTCGCCTCTGCCTGCTCTGTCTTACCTGTGCCAGCTGCGTCTCTATCCTGTGAACCCCATTGTTTATTAGTTTGTTTGTTCTCTTTCTTCTCTCTTTTCCCCCCTTTTTTTTTGTCCTCCTCTCCTCTCTTCCCGTCCTTGTACCTAGGCAGCCCATTGAGTAACTTCTTTGACGTAATAAAACAACTTTTTTCAGACGAGAAGAACGGACAGGTGCCCTACCCTTCTGGCACACCCTCCAAGCGCTGCCCCTCGCCAATGCACGTCCGGAGGCATGAGCCTGAAAATAATGACACCAAATGTCCTGTGGCAGGCCGAGAAAAAGCCAGGTTGTCGCTGGCATCTGTGGGGACGCAAGAGGAGTCTTAAAAACCAATCACAGTATCTCTATGAGCCAGAGGAACAGAGGGATTACCTCTTGAAACAGCTGGATGTACATAATCATTTATGGACATTTTTTAAAATGAATTTATTTAGATAGAAATATATTAAGAGAATCAAAGTGATATTTTGAGAGAAAAAAAACACACACTACACATCACAACCACACACTCCTGTCCTTCCATCTCCCTTTCACCACCCCACCATCATTATCCCCCATCTCCACCCCGAATATTTGATCACCTGTGCTCTGTTTGTGCTCCCTTGCTGCTAACCTGTGTGATGACCTGACTTGTTTCTGATACCAGGTATCATCCAGAAAACCTATTAAGTCCCTCCTCCTGCTCCCCACTCCGTCAAGCCTCCTCCAACCAACCCCTGCACCCCCCCCCCCGCCCTGAGCGCGCCGAAAGAGAGACGGACATTTGTTGACGGAGGACTGCTTTTCAGAGGTGCGCCAAAGGGTGGGGGTTACCATGGAAACAGACCCTTCATGCAGACTTCTGCCTTCATCTCCCTCTGAGCCCCTTTTTTCCCCACCTCCGGCAGCCATCAGTAGAAGTAGATGAAAATACCTTAAGCGTCCACCCTCTCCCATCTGAGAAACACACAAACACTCACATGTGCACAAGTAATACACACACCTCCCAATAAAAACCAACATCCTCCTCTCCAGCCTCTTTCCCCTCCTCAAGGAGCATTCGTTATTTGGAGAACAAACATTTTTCAAAAAGACACTACACAAAGAAAACATAAACATGCATACATGCACAGGTCCAGTATGCACTATAAAACTCTGGGATGTATTAACAAGAACACAAAAGAAGACACACTGACTGATTCGTAGGAGGAGAGAAGGGGGAGGAGTTTACGTGGAAACGCCCAAAACAGCCGACGCAGATGCTTGCTGGATTGTATTTCTTTGCTTTTTAATGTACTTTCTTTGGGAAAAATGGGTTGAAAATACTAAATGACTTTAATAGACTTGACACTATTGCTGCAAAACGGACTGGAATTGTGATTTCAGAGAGGAGCGGGGTGAGAGCAGAACAGGGAAAAGTGAGGGGTGGGGGGGGGGCAGTGGGAAGATAATATGATAGTACAGGGTTGGGTTTGGGGGGTGCGGGTGGGTATGTGGGTATTTAAATGAATGATCTATTCTGTTGTACAGACTGATATCATTTCTTATGTAAAAAAAATGAAATGTCTAGTTGTGACACTATGTTTAGATACCATAGGGTCAGGTTGGTAAACCTGCGCCTGCCACAATATTGTTCTGTTAAATTCTTTGTGTATATTTTGTTACATGATCATTTCTGTCTCTGTTTTAATGACCTAATAATGATCCAAACATTCCTGTTTGTGTAATCTGCAGCACTTTGTCTTTGTTCGTTTTCTCCATCTATACCTCTCTCTTAGACTCACATACCAGCAGTAGGAGTAGAGGAACAAAAAATGATGACGTGATAAATGCAACTGTGGATATTTTTGTATTTTTGTCCTTATTTATTCATGTTTGTTCATCTCACTGTTGGATTTCCTATTTTATTATAACCTGGCTATTTATATGAACAAAGCTGTTAGGTCAGTTGAATGTTATTTATTACCCTCTTGTGTGTTCGTAAATGGGACAACATTTAAAGAAAAAGAATTCACTTTTTTCTTTTTTTGTTCTAAATTTAACATAATTATGTGAACATGGACAAGTCACAACTTCTCTGTTCCCTTAATGTCTGTGAAAAGGGAAAGAGGACTTGTGGGAACTCTTGGGAAAAAAATGATTTACCAGTAATTTAAGAATGTAGACGTAGCCTCTTTTTGAAGAGGGAATATGCTCTTCTATTGATATTTGTCAGTTTCATATTATTGTGCTTGTAGGCCAGGCCTGAGAAGCAGGATGCCACAGATCCTGATCTTCTTCTTCTCTTTGTAAATAGAAAGACAAACTGTTGGGGGTTGATTGTCTTCTCAACCATGCTGGGGATTCCTGCTCTATGCTTTTAGCTTGTAATGCTGTGTGCATGTCAAACATGAGCTTTTCTTTGCATGGCTTTAGTGTTCATGTTCCATGCCAAACTCTCTCCTTCTCTCAGCCTTCATCGGTCCTCTCCCTCTCTTCAAAAACAACCTTTTAAACTCCCCCTCTGTCCCTTACTTTCCACCCTCTATGCTTTGATTTCAAGCCTTCCTTTTTTTTTTGTATTGTTCCCCACGCTTATCTCTCCCCTCCTCCCTCTCCTCCTCGTATCTTGTGCACAAAGTTTTTTGAACGATGCTTCCTTTACTCTGTACTTCTCTCTGGAAGGTTTCGGAGGTTTAAGCTCTCTCCACCTGTTTTTTGGTTGCAGAGGCACAGTGAGGGGATTCAAGTACACAAACACAAAGCAATACCCTATTGTTCACCCTCCTTTCTGTTTTCTACAATGGGAAGCTAGCAGCACCAAGGACATGTGATCATTCTGAGGCCCAGAGCGGGTCTTTTGACAGAGCAGGAACAAAACTGACTGATGTAATCCCCATATCAAATAACTGTGAGCATCTTCAGTGCTGAAACAAATAAACTCATTAAGTTATTGTGTCTTTGTTTGCCTTCTTTGTGACTGCATGTAGGGGTAAGTGTGGACCTGAACTAAATGTCCTGAGAGTTTTTTTAACTGCCATATGCTCAGGCTTTTCTCATTGGTCATTGAAATGAAGACTACAGAGATATATAATAATTCCTCCCAGTCTACTCTTTTTAAAATGTTGTAACTTCATATTTTCTATTGTGTGCGTGAATACCTTTATGCTGTAGATCTGTGCATTTGCAGGTTGCCGTTCCCTTGGATCATAGGTAAGTGCACACATGCTCCTAAAACAGATTGACACCCTCCTTGTAAATGTTTTGAAATAATGTGTACCAATAGAAAGAAAATGCTTGTTAAGCAGGTTTATTACAACTTTCAGTATTAAAGCAGACTTTCTGTGACCAAATTCCCATGTTGGATTCAGCTGCTGTACCTTTGTAGAAGCATTAAACCTCAGCATACATAAGCTTAATCAACTGTCAATGTACCTGGAAAAAACAACAGCTACACAAAAAGCCATTTTTTCAAACAATAATATTAATATTTGCTTGGATTAAAAAAAACAAAATAAAAAGGGAACACCCCGATAAATACTCTCACATCTTTTTTTTGTCATTAAATAGAAAATGTCCATCCCACTCTTCAGTAAGTGTTTTGCTTCTGTGGTCATACATTTTTAAAAATACAAAATAAGAACGTACAGTTACATAGACAGTACATTTGTTCATCCAAAGCTAACGTCAGTACTGGAGGCACAGAGTTCCCCTCCTTCCTCCCACTCTGCACTATGAGTTTGAAAGTGAGCCACAAGTCCAGCATGGCCCCCTCACAGGATTCTCTCATGTTTGCTTCAGTCTTATGTCCCTTCAGATTGCTTCAGTCAGAACAAGTAGGGTGTACTGATCCCAATCCTCTCAGACAAATATCAATTTGCCAGTTCTGTCCACAAGAGGTCAGCAGTGTTCCATTATTCAGAGCTCCCACCTGTTGCATCCAACTGTTGCTGCTCCTTTAGGCTTCCTGAGCCTTGGAGAGAGAGCATAAAATTGTCCTTTTTTTTACCTTATACATGCTGCACACTGCAAAAATAATGGCAAGGTGGTGGTCTTGGCACAAAATATGAAACACTGAATTGTCAACAGAATTAAATGTAACACTGTCAGTGTCAATGTCTTGAGGGAGATGCTTGTCAAAAGACTTAGGAGAACATCTGTACTTAAAGTATTAAAACAGCTGTTTAACGTCAGATCCTGTGTCTGTGATAACACAAGACTTCTCCTTGGACTGCATCGTTCATCCACTTATCCATGTCTTCTGTCCTCAGACTCGGGAGGTGACATGGAGAGAGCGTAGTCGCTGAGCCAGGGTGATCTCCAGCTCCTCCAGAGGTGAGTCTCCCCGACTGTGAACCAGCATAGAAGTGGAGTTGTTTCCTTGTCGAGCGGCGGGAGGTCCCAGCAGCAGGCTCTTGAAGGCCTCTCTCTCCAGAAGAGCAGGCATGTGCTGCAAGAAGTAACCCTCACAGAATGAGCTCAGCTCTGCTGAACCATGGACCTGGGAGAGTACATAGTTATGGTCAAATATCCTGACACATTAAATTATAGATGTAAACTACCAAGAAAGCAGTGTAGAACTGAGGATTTTTATTATGTAACATAATGCCTTTCATTCAGAAATATAATTTGTGGAATATGAAACCTCAATTCACTGAAGAAATCTAGTTTTTAATCTATGAAAGATCTCTTAAAGTCAGTATAAAACATTTTCTCTCAGTGAGAGAGTAACCTTAGTTACAACAGCACAAAAGCCCAGTTATGCTATAATATCTCATTTGCATAGTTCACATAACAGAACAGAGTGATTCAGTCTTCTCACTGTGTGTGTCTGTGTGTGTTACCTTAGCAGTCTTGTAGATGCTGACTGCATTATCCAGGTTGATGTGCCGAGAGCACACGAGTTCACAGTGTCTTTGTAGCACCCCAAGCCGGAACAGACTCGCAGCTGATAACAACTGTAGGACAAATGACAAGTACATGTTGGCACTGGAGAAAGACGGTCTTATGTTTCATTTTGTAACATGATGAGAGCAGCAGTGAGGTGCAATTCTGATATATGCAACAACTCTGTATTAGCTGGAAAAAAAACATGTTTTTTCCATTTATCTCTTAAGAATATAAAGTTATGGGGTGCAATGATTCATTTTGTCAAACACTGGCTGCATTCTTCTGCCTGATTCCACTTTTATCTGCATTAAAAAAAAGAAAAGTGTGTGTGCACTTAAAGCAGTTTTATGAACCTCCATAGACCATTGTAATGGATGCCACTTTTGGAGTGTTATTTTATTTTCTCGTGGGGTTGACTTGATCATAAACTAACTTTTGATGAATCCTTGAAAAGGCACAACATGCATTGCATTTACAGGGCTTTACTAAAGGTACAAAGCATTTTCACTGTTTACAGTACAGAGAGAACATTGTTGAGCTACGTTTGGAGAAGGACAGCTGGACAGGAAATTGAAGTTTTTTCTTCTGTGTACTATCTTCATGTTCATTTGTTAGACTCTAAACCAAAATAGGCTTTTTTGTACAAAAGAATACAACAATTTATCTAATGTTTGTTTGTTAGAGCAGTAAATTGCTCATGTTATTATCTTCTATTTTTGGAACTAACTAGAAAACACATTAAGATTTCTTAGAAGAAGAAGATGTCACACGACTACCAGGAAAAGAGTGTGCACATATTTAGTGAGACTTACCTCCAGCAGGTCAGGAACATTATTTCTCAGTGACTCTGTTCCTCCACAGTACAGGTATGACATCATTATCTGCAGAAAGGTCACAGGTCTCATTCAAGTACAAGTGAGTTCTGTATTTGGAGTAAATCATGTATCACATGCACTATGTCCAGAGATTGTGTTTCCAGCTTTAATAAAATAAGGCAACACTTTATTTTCATAAGGTAATAATGTTTGTAGCTGTTACCTGGAAAATGCTGTACTTGATGTCACTGATCTCAATCTCTTTGTTGGGGCTTCCATCCGTACCAGAGGAGGCCAGCAGAGACTTGAATCTAAAAGCAAATATACAGTACATGTGTCATTAGAGGCCTTTAAGTTGTTGAGCAGGCTGTATGAGAGATAGAACGTTTCTATCCAGTGTGATTTTCTCTGCACGCACCGGTCTGAAGCTGTGATCAGCAGGACTCTGTGGGCGTAGAACGGTTTCCCCTCCACCACAAATGTCACATCTGACATCTCCTGGTTATTCAGGAAGTGAGGGTCTGTTGGAAAAAATAGCAGCACCTCATTACTAATTTTGATCGGATTTACTGCTTACAGCAAATATATACAACCAGAGGATGTTTCATGGGTCAAACAAAGCAGAAGACAATTTGAAGCTATTTTCATATTAAAATAATCTGGCACATGTGCCAAACAAGCCCTATTCCCATCTTTTATATTATGATGAATCTCAGCTTGTAGTTATTTTAAAAT